CGAAAATTTTTTTTTTCACCCAAATCGTTACTTAGCATGGTTTTGCACTCACCCCTTCATTTCTCTTTTACCTGCACCTATAGCCCATCCCGTCTCGAAAATAAACTTACCCCCAAAAGATGTTGATCAGTGTAGAACTAACCTATAGTAATAATTACTGTAACTTCTGTTTATGATCAGTAAGCTGGTTTAATGCTGTTTTTTTGTTGTAGCTTGCCAGAAAGTGTGAGCACGTTCTGATAGAGAAGCATTTAGACATCTTCTACTCCGAATTCCAAAACCTCTTAAATGATGACAAGAATGAAGGTCTGTAGACTTGGATTAAAATGCAAACGCACTAATTGTACTAATTTTATAATGTAACAGGACAATCCACTTTGTTACTTGTGGAAGGTGATTAACCTTCAATACATTTATCTTACTGTTACTTGACTGGATCAGAATTTCAGGATGTTTATTTGTGGTTTTAAGACAACTTGGCAAATTGCTGTCAAGCCAGTAACCATAATAGCACTTTTTCAGTTTAATAACACCATAATTATTTTCAACACTTACATGATTATGTTACATTACAATACTTACAGAATGTTACATACATTACATTGCTACTTACATTTCCTACTATGTAATAAATACTAACCTGTGCCACTAAGCTTTTCTTACTGTAGGTTGTAAACAAAAAGTAGCACAGTATATTTCTTACTTATTTTGGTCTCCTTCTCAATGAATAATGAGTTTTTCAGATTAGTGAACATATTAAAATATGTTCAGCTGAGAGCTGCCATTGTATGCAGAAACGTCATTGGTTGTTTTCTAGAGATATTAATTCACTCATGAAAGTTTAGCAGAATGTCAGAGAGCTATGGATCATTTACCTTAGATTCCACTGCATCAATCATTTTCCCAGTCTTCCTTTCCTGTCATTTTAACTCCATGTTATCTAATATTATTACCTCCAGATCTTGGTCGCATGTACAACTTGGTTGCCAGGATACCTGATGGACTAGGACAACTTCGAACCCTTTTAGAAAATCACATAACAAATCAAGGACTCAATGCATTAGAAAAATGTGGAGATCAAGCATTCAATGTTAGTAAACCGTCGTATTGTTCTTTCAAACAATATTGATATTGCAGTCATTTATTTTTGTAAAATGTTTTCAAAGCCATAAAACTTTGTTATTATTGATTCAGGATCCCAAGGTGTATGTGGAAACAATACTTGAGGTTCATCATAAGTACAATGCACTGGTTTTGACAGCTTTCAACAATGACGCAGGATTTGTTGCAGCTCTAGACAAGGTACTTGTGCAATACTACTGTAATGCAATTATGAAACAGTTTGTTAGCCTTTCACATCATCAATCCCCAAGTCACTTCTGGTCTGAAAACTTAAAATAATGAAAATATGACCATGACCAAACTCTCAGGCCTGATAACTCACTCAAACTGACAAACAGATCAGAAGATTGTTCATAAACATTATTCTAACGGAGTAAATCTCTTTCTAAAATTACTGGGTAGCATGTCACCAGAAAATTTTCCAAATGACTAAAATGTCTTAATTTCTCTTTTTTTTTTTTTTTTTTTGAGCAACAAAGTTCAGATGTAGCAGATTTTATTTCAAAAATATGTGGCCACTTTGTTAGAGCTACAATAGATTTCATTCTATAGTACAATTCTCACTCATTTGTCCTCCAGTCATGATGTAGGGATTGTCCAACAAAAGGCAAATTTGTCATATTAAAATACCGGGCATGGCTTGGCAAATAAGCAAACTATATCTCTGGTCTCTGGCCTCAAAAAAAATCCTGTATAAGTCTTATTGTTTCTGTGTCTTTCATAAAGTTTTTCCAATTTACCTGGTATTTCATTGACTGGAAAAGAAAGGGTTTAACTTTTTGTCATAACACATGCCCTCATAGTACGTTCAATTGGCAATTGATTATCCACAAAGCTATTTATTTTTTTGTCCCTTCTCATGGCAAATGGTTTTATTTTCTGAATGTGATCATTGTTGTCTTGTGCCTGTATTATAACAACTTTCACTTGGTTTTAACAGGCTTGTGGCAAGTTTATTAATAGTAACTCTGTCACCAAACAAGCTCATAGCTCATCCAAGTCCCCTGAACTTCTGGCCAGATACTGTGATTCTCTGCTAAAGAAAAGGTACCCAGTTATATTAGTCTTTTGAAGGCAATGTCAATTTTAAAATATAGATACATGTACTACTTGGGCTTTCAAATTGCATAATGTTGTTTCTAAGCAGCAAAATTTGCTGCTTCAATTCTTATTTTTGTCATATTTTGTATCATTCATTTTTTTTATTGCCTGCTTCACAGCTCAAAGAATCCAGAAGAAGCTGAATTAGAGGATATCCTCAACTCAGTGGTTAGTAGCCTTGTTTTAATCCCTTTTAAAGTTTGCTTATTATTTCTGTTAATGTATTTTGTGTATCTGTAGATGGTCGTGTTCAAGTACATTGAAGACAAAGATGTCTTCCAGAAGTTTTATTCCAAGATGTTGGCTAAGAGACTTGTACAGCACAACTCAGCTTCAGATGATGCCGAAGCTAGTATGATCTCTAAACTCAAGGTATTCACTAACAAAAGCCACTAAATAAAGAAACAAACAAACGTCACACAAACATAGTATTAAAATAATAAGTGAATATTATGAAAAAATGAACAATTTAAAGGGAACGATTTCTATACTTTCCTCCAGACACAGAAAGCGATAACATTTTAATATTGAACAAAGCAGTATTATATTGGACATGAAAGCATGATGGTCTGTACCATTAAGCAATTAGATAATGAGCTCTAGATTTCTAATGCATGATAGTTGACTCAGGCGCACTATCACGCATAGAAATTGAGAGCGAATAATCTAATCTTTTAGTATAAATCTAGTAGTCGTTCAAAACGTTATCTAAATCCTCTTCACAGACACTTCGAAAATGCCAAGAAGCGGCCGTCATTTTGTTAACAAGGGCACAGTGCTACGCTACTCACTATCACAGAATTGATAGTGAGTAGCGTAGCCAATCAGAGAATTGCATTCGTGATAGAACGCTAGTAGATTTATACTAATATTGAATAGACTGAATTGAATTGAAAGACTAGAACGAAACAACAGCCAGTTGGGTTATATTTGGTTTTAACGTTAATTGTTTTTTTGTTTGTTTGTTTGTTTGTTTGTTTCCTCTGTATTCATATAACCCTTAGAAAAGAAGGAAAGGCCGCTGATTTAATGTTGTTGACTTCCTTTCACAGCAAGCATGTGGTTTTGAGTACACATCCAAGCTTCAAAGAATGTTTCAAGACATAGGTGTTAGCAAAGATCTTAATGACAAATTCAAGTCACATCTAGCCAACACAGAAGCCTTAGATTGTAAGTCAATTGTCTTCGACTGTTGTGGATGTGTTGTTGTTATGCCATGTTGTTGTAGTTGTTGTTTCTTTATTTATGGCGTCTGATTCTTTTCCGTTACCTATGCTCCTTAGTGGACTTCACAATCCAGGTTTTGAGTTCAGGGTCCTGGCCCTTCCAACAGTCAGCGCCATTCTCTCTACCAGCAGAGGTAAAATGTGGTAATTGTGAAAACAAACAAATTAAGCTAAAGCATTATAGTTTTGTGTTGAGAACAATACCAGTATAGTCTTTTTTGATTGCTTGTTTGTTGGTTGGTTGGTTTTGTTTTGCCTTTGTTTTTTGTGTGTGCGTGTTTTACTGTTTTCGTGTTTTGTTTTGTTCTCTTCCCTGAAGCTAAATCCAAAAAGAACTTATTAAAACAAAGAAAACCAGATTTTTATGATACACATTGTCCAAGGATACAAATTGTGATAGTTAAACCTTTGCTGCTTGCTTTAGTGAAGGTTCCTAACCATTTTGTTTTTCTTTAGATGGAAAGAAGTCATCAACGATTCACCACATTTTACAGCAGCCAACATAGTGGTCGGAAACTTCATTGGGTTTACCACATGTCCAAGGTCAGTGAGCAATGCCCCAGTATATAAACTGTTTTAAGATGTTCACGTTGTTTCTGTTAGCTTTCTCTGTTTGTCTGCATAACCCAGTCTTATGGCAGATGGCAGATTTTGTGCTTGTCGTCTTTGAATCTAAATGTGTCCTCTCTCAAAATTAATTAAAAGATTGACTGTAGGCATTTGTTTTGCTTGTCACGCAGCAGTGGGTGGAAATTAGTGTTGCGAGATTACTACAAAGTGGAAAACATGCACTACAAAGAAGGACTATAGTCCCAAGCCATATAACTGAGTTATACTCACACAAAAACCAAGATTCAGATGAAATCTCATGGCTTTCTTAAAAGTCAAAACCTCTAGAGGGGGTTAATTTTTTTTTTTTTTTTTTTTTGGATAAGACTAACTGAAACTTGTTTTTGTTGATTGCAGGGGGAACTACTTACAAATTGCTTCAAAAATCGCTACATTCTCCAGGTGAGTTGTGAGCAATAAGTCTCATGATTGTTGTCATGCAATTCAAGAGGAGTGTTTGTGACCTGAAAAGTTGTTGTGAGACGTCGTTAAAGGATAAATGCTGGTAGTGAAGTCGTGTAGTAGTGTAACATTCGTTCAAATGTTGACACTAAATGCCGCCGTCTACCTACTTACATTAGGGACCTTAAGATACGAGGACGGGAAGGTCAGGACGGCAACGGCAGTGGACGCGGGAAACTTTCGCGGGTCCCGTCGTGTCGCCAAAAACAAAATGCTTAAGATGTGCATTTTCGCAAAGGACGGCG